CCGTATCCTAATCCTTATTCCTTCGTTAATCGTTGCTAATGTCTTTTTGTTTGCGCCCACTAAATTCACCCTAGGTATTTTATAAATCAAATTAGTCAAACTTACTTCTTCTACCAATCTTCTATTTATTAAAGATATTTCTGATCCAGAATCTATCAAAATTTTAATCGATTTATTGTTTATAAATCCGTTCACAAATTGTAAATTTGATTCCTGTTCTCTATCATTTTTTTTAGCAAGTTTAATAAATTCTTTTGGGTGACAAAAAATTCCGGTCTGTTTATTTATTTTTAGTGGGCGCTTTCGTAAAAAGCCGACTGCGGTGTCTCTTGATTCCTCGTTTCATTATCGTGTATGTCTTCCTCGACTCTCTCAATATTAGTGTTATTTACTTCTCTTCTGTATCCTCTTTGTCGATCATCATTGTATCGATTTTCCTGATACCTTTGCTCATTTGGACGTCTGTTATTTCTATTCTCTTGATGTGTTGTAGCATTATGGTTTTCACGCTGGTCTCTATTTCTATTTTCGTTCCCTAGTCTGTTTCTTGGTTCGTAATTATTTTCTCTTTCGTGTCTTCTTTCATATTCCCTCCTTGGTACGAAATCTCTTCTTGGTCTTTCTGTATAATAGCCTTGTCCTTGGTTTCTGTTGTGCTGTGTTTCCCGGTGTGGGTAATTTTCTTGTCTTCTCTTGTTTTTTCTTTCCTGCTGACGTGATTCTCTGACTTGTAGGAATTGGCACAAATCATCGATGTTTTTATAATTCTGCAAAGTAACATGGTCTTCCAATGTTTCTTCAAAGTGTCTCGCAATTAAATCAACAAGTTGTTCTTCCGAATAATTGTATTGGAGATGTTTTGCATTGTTGTACATTTGCAATGCATATGTTTTCGCTGACTTTTCTAATTTTTCACTATATTTTCCATTTTGAAGCTCTTTATTTATTTCTAGTTGTTGGATTTTTCCCCAAAAATATTGTAGAAATCTTTCTTCAAAATGTTCCCAGCTATTAAATGTGTCTTCTTTACTATCGAACCACAGACTAGCTTCTTCCTTTAGGCGGTTTCTAATTTCTTCTTTGCACGCCTCGAAATCTTCGGTATATTGCAATTTCTTTTTAAGATTCTTAATAAAAACAACCGGATGTGTTTTTCGCACATCCCCGACAAATTGTATTTTCGCTTCTCCTGTGCCATGAATAATTACTTCCCTTCTTGCTCCGACTATTTGTTGATTTTTTATGTTTGCGATTTGTTTATCGATTTCTATCCTATCTAATTGTCTCGCTTTTTCGCATTTGTGTTTTAAATCCTCCAAATTTTCTGCAATTTGTTCTATTTTTTGTTTGTCTTCTTTTCTTCTTATTTCTAGATCCTCTATTTCCTTTCTAATTTCTGCATTCTTTAATGTCATCTCTTCCATACGTTGTATCATTTCTCTCTTTATTCCCTCTACACATCCTTTAATTTCCTGTTCATTTTTTTTTATTTTATGATCCATCATCTGCATTGTTTCCTGTTGATTTTTTTCCATTTTATGTTCCATATTCTGGATTGTTTCCTGTTGATTTTTTTTTATGTTATGCTCCATATTCTGCATTGCTTGTAAGATTTTATCCATATCTGATAAACCCTGGCTTTCTTTTTCCATCGTTGGTTTTTCTGAACTTTTACTCCTTGTCGTAGACATTTCCGACGGATTTGTATCCCCGCCAAACAATAAGATTTTTTTAAATAAAAAATTTAAATTTGTTGTCGACAAAAAATAATCTCTCACACAAATGTATTACCTTAATTAGAATATAGAATATAGAAACCCAATATTAATTTTTAAATGGAAACAAACTGCACGAAAATGTATAAGTTTCCCAATTGCCTCCGCACTAAAATACAACTCGATATTTTTCTAGCCCTTCACGTTCGGCGCCAGTTGTTATGGTAAGCAAAATCTATATTTATCGATTATTTAATTAATTGTTATCAAAAAAACAAAACTTACCAACAAATCCCCAATTTATTATCCGGGTCGTGCTTCAAATATCTATCTCGTTGTATTTTAGGTAAGATGACGAAAAGGAAAGAAATAAAATAATATACAAAATATTCAATCAATTAACAAATAAGATTATATTTACCTAATTTAAAAAATATTAATTAGAATTTATCCATGTAAAAACCTTTATGAAAATTAATACTACAATACGAAACTTTAAGTCTTTCGATTATTATTAAATATTAACACAGCAAATGTTCCTGACAATATCAAAAAATTAATTAACTATTAATTGAGTCCCTCTTAGAAGATTTCTTTTAACTGAAGTACTTCGCCACGGTAATTTTTACAACAAAGAAAACAAACTTACATTAGCTTTGGTAAGGTTCCTTCTTAGGGCTCTTTAACTGTTTCTATATGGCCCGCCAGGAAAAAACCACGAAGACTACCTTTTGGTAATATTAATTCTACCTTTCTCGGCTCCAGCAACACAACACAAAAACTCAATACTTGACTGACTTTTTACTTCATCAATTTTTCTATTACCCGCACTGGCGAAGCTCTCAAAAAAAATTGTTCTTCCCTCGGAAATTTTAAACAAAGTGACGTCTGTCAAAATTATTGTCAACGCAAACCTCTCGTTTTTTTCTCCTTCCAAAGCAATCTTGTTGCCAAGTCAAATTTCCGTTTATTTGGTAATAGCAAAATTTCCCAGTTTAATAAACAAAATCCTTCCAAGAATATTTTCCCTATGTCCGTAACTAATCACTTTCTATTCAAATGTATTGCTTTCATTTCTAATAAGCCTACTAATTTACATATCTTATATTTAATGACAATATAATTTTATACATTTTCTTAAGTAAACAAGATTACTTATTTTTTTAGATTATTTCCAAATAACAATTTTTGGGAACCTTAACAATATATATATATATATATATATATATATATATATATATGCCTAGTAAAGGTATCGGAGGGGTTGTTCTTTTGCTGGTATATATAATATCTGATAAATGCCTAACTGATCGTCACGAATGGGTCACAGCTGATCTAAAAACTCAGCCAACTTTGTTAATGAATCCTACCTCTTACGTCTGCGAATACATAAGTCGCGTAATCCTCGGCAATATATGACGTATTATGGAAGTACGTTATATATCAGAAGGAAGAGAGTGAAAGGCGTCTTATAATCAGAATACACCAGCGAACCCTTACCAATCCGCACAGAGAAGGTAGCGTGGTAACATAAACGAGATATTCAAAACATGGCCCTCATTCTCCGTGGGCCTAAATGACCCTGAAATGGGTAGCTTTCGGAACAAGCCAGAAGGCAGAGGGTGCTAAGAATAGGCGGAGTCTAAACCGCTACCCAACTAAAACAACAACGCTTTATATAGCGATATATAACCGCCGCTCGCTATCAAATAAATCCAGACTTATAGAACTGGAAAAAGGAACTGAAAATATAAAATGGGACGTCATATGTATCAGCGAAGTAAGACGGAAAGATGAATTAGAGTCAGGAAACACATTCTACTACCGATGCTCATCAAGGGACAGAACAGACGATATTGGATTCCCAATCAACAAGAAATGGAAAAGAAGAGTAGTAGAAATAACTAATATCTCGGATAGAATAGTTAGCTTAACCTTACAACTATCAGAGAAATACTATATACAAATTATACAAATATACTGCCCAAAGATTACTAACACTGACGAAGAAGTAGAGGAAACTCTACAGTAACATGAATGAAGCATTAAATAGCAATAAATGTCACTTCAAGTATTTAATTGCTGAGTTAAATGCAAAAGCGGGAAAGAGAAACGACAAGGAACAAGTCGTGGGAATCTATGGTATCAGTAAGAGAAATGAAAGGGGAGAAAGACTGGTTCAGTTTGCAACTACCAAAACATACCAATTGCATATACATTCTTTGAGAAAAAATCGAACAGAAAATGGTCTTGGGTAGCACCAAATGGAACCACTAAGAACTAAATTAACTTTATTCTAACCAACAAGGTTAATACAATAAAATATGTCAGTGTAATAAATAAATATCAAACAGGCAGCGACCATAGACTAATCAGAGCAAAAATTGTTATATCTGAAACTAAAAAGAATAAAATTAATCACAAAACCAACAGTAACTGGGATAAATATTAGCAATATAAAAGAAAACTCAGATCACTACCAAAGGTCAATTGATGAAAAATTACATGACCATATCGATAGCTCTTTGCTCAATTACAAAATGAAAAGCGGTAAAGCAGCTGGAATAGATGACATAATAGTGGAACTCTATTCGTTAACAATAAATAAAATGGAAACAAGTACTTTATTGTTAACGAACGTGCTCAAAGATATTTATATTTTAACATGCATTTTATTGGATGTACATATACATCAGCAATAATGTTATTTTAATGTCAATTTTATTTATGTGTGAAACCTTTTAATTTCTTTACTCCCGATGAAGCTATTAAATAAATGACGAAATATTGAGCTTTAGAAAAAACAAAGATTTTTATTTAATATAGACTATATACCCGATATTTCCAACATACTTATAAATTGTTTTTTGGTTGAAATAATCACGTTATATAATATATATATACAAGTTGAGGGTAATATATACAACTCAACATGAGTTGAGTGTCAATGCTTACAAAAATAATCTCAACGACTAGTAAGTTACACTGAAGAATTGTGATATTTTTTAAATATTTACATAATTGTCTTTTACAGTGTCTTGAAAAATGAATAAAACCACTCCGAAAGCTCGACAAAAAGTCAAAAGAGTGTTTTTTTTAACATCCCGGCCAATATTCTGACTGCAACTGTGTTGTTTGTATATATATATATATATATATATATACACATATATATATATATATATATATATATATATATATATATATATATATATATATCACTTTTTTGGAGCAAAATAGCTCGCGGATCAACGGAATTGTGAAACTGAACACCGAATTTTTAAGGTTATCGGCGCCGGCACTGGTGGCACCATAGCAGGTATCGGAAGAAAATTCAAAGAAATATCTCCCCAAACAACGATCGTTGGAGCTGACCCAGTAGGATCCATCTTAGCTCTACCAGAGTCTTTGAATAGCACAGATGCTGGTTTCTACGAGGTTGAAGGTATAGGATACGACTTCATACCTACCGTTTTAGATCGAGATGTGGTCGATGTGTGGGTGAAAACAACCGATGAGGAGTCATTGCCTTTGGCTAGAAGGCTTATAAAAGAAGAAGGGTTATTAGTAGGTAAGATATATTATTTTTATTTGTTTTTATAAAGACGATAAGAGTCAATTGGAAAAGACTTTAAACATTACACGTTTCTTTGTTCAAATTGTAGGCACTATTTTAGAGAGTACGGATATATTTTTTATTTAATAGGACTTAGAACTCCATCCATCGATGGAGAAAGATTAAACCATGTACGTTTTGCGGACGATATCGTGCTTCTGTCAGATAATCTGGGAGAGATCAAAGACATGCTCCAAGAACTGAATGACATACTACAAGAAATTGGGCTAGAGATAAATTTCGAGAAAACCAAAATGATGACCAATATGGTTCCCAGCGAAGAGATACAGATCAATAACAACAAGGTAGAATTAATCGATAAATACACATACTTGGGTCATGAAATTAGAATAACCAGAGACAACCAAACCTGCGAGCTAAATAGACGAATCGCGTTAGGATGGGCGGCATATGGAATGGAAGGATGAGAGACATTTTTAAAACAAATATCCCAATTCACCTGAAAATGAAGGCATTTAACCAATGCATCTTACCAGTCTTGACCTACGGAGCAGAAACCCTAACTTTAACGAAAGCTACTGCCGAAAAACTGAGGGTAACACAAAGGCGAATGGAGAGATCAATGCTGGGCCTGACCTTGAAAGATCGCGTGAGAAATGAGGAGATACGCCGATGAACTGACGTAGACGATATTATACTGCGAATCAATAAACAAAAGTGGAGGTCATGTTGCTGGATATGTTGCTAGAATGGAAGACGGAAGATGGACGAAGATATTATTGGAGTGGAGACCAAGAGCCGACAAGCGAAGTCGAGGCAGACCACCCACCCGACGACCTAAGGAGAATAGAAACAAACTGGATTGCAGCAGCTAGAGATATAGCCCAGGGAAATAAGCATTTTTTCATGACACTCGTCCGGCCAGGCAAACGACAGTTGTTTTGAGTAGTATGGACCTCTGTAACAAAAATCTATATGTTTACTGCAGTCGATTTTTTGGACTTAATTAGTTATTAACAAATTAAGGTCAAAAAACGGAAAATTTTTGCTTTTTTCGTCTATTAGCAAAGAGTGAAGCAATTTAAACAAATTTTAGAAGAGAGAAAACTTATAAGTTATATAAAAACGTGAAAAAGACAGCAAATATTTGATTTCACGCAAACAGCGCCTTTGTATCTGTTGATACGTATTTCGACCTAATAGGTCTCATCAGAACAGTTATTCAAAGGTGTTCTCAACGTGAAAGATCAATATTTTCTGTCTTTTAAGAAGCAACAATAACATGGCTTCGAATACGGACGCACTAGCGACATCTAATTTAACAATCGTAAAATAGTTTCGAAACACAATTCAGATTTCTGCTTTTATCTGTGCTTTCTAAAAATTGCAAAGCAAAACAGACGTTGATAAAGGTGTTAAAAGAGACGTGGGGAATCTAAAATTTGCATTCCACGACACATCTTTTCAACTAAGCAGAAATCCTTAGCGAATTGGTTTCTTGTACTCGTACAGAGTAAATCCGAAAAAAGTGAAAAAGACAGCAAATATTTGATTTCACGCAAACAGCGCCTTTGTATCTGTTGATACGTATTTCGACCTAATAGGTCTCATCAGAACAGTTATTCAAAGGTGTTCTCAACGTGAAAGATCAATATTTTCTGTCTTTTAAGAAGCAACAATAACATGGCTTCGATTTCGGATTTACTCTGTACGAGTACAAGAAACCAATTCGCTAAGGATTTCTGCTTAGTTGAAAAGATGTGTCGTGGAATGCAAATTTTAGATTCCCCACGTCTCTTTTAACACCTTTATCAACGTCTGTTTTGCTTTGCAATTTTTAGAAAGCACAGATAAAAGCAGAAATCTGAATTGTGTTTCGAAACTATTTTACGATTGTTATATAAAAACCTTCAAAATGGCGTTTTAAAAATGTTTCTATCCTTATTTGTTGCTTAGAAAGTTGCAAACTAAGTCAAAAATTTCGGTTTTTTATAAATGTTAATAACTTTTTAAAAAATAAACTTATAATATTTATATTTCATGAAATTATGTGTCTTGTAGTGCTTAAAATAGGGTTAAAATTTCAAAGTGATCGGTCCAATAGTTTAAAAGTTATTTTATTTGTTTATCCCAAATTAACATTTTTTGCAACAATATAAGTCAGAAATTTATACAGCTTTGGTAATTCTAAGGGTAGTTTCTGGTAGAAGAAGACTTGTTTTATTATTTACATTAAAAAAAAATTAAGTAAATTAATTTTAAATATTGCAAAATAATTTTGCAAAAACATGTCGATTTTTTGCCTATAAACAATTAGAATAACTTTTTAACTATTAACTGTAAAAATATTATTTTTATATATTTAAAAAGCCTGAATTTTTTCACAAATTTAAATAAAAAAAAGTTTGTTCTAAAATAATTTAGTACAAAGTTAGCCTCTTTTTTTATTTAATTCATAGCACCTTTGTTTATAACAATTAAGAAATCTAATTAGCTCTATTTGAAAGAATATACATCATAGTTTTACAGCACTAAATTTTAAAATTATTGCCCTTTAATGGAATCGTCCACAAAGCTTCAAAATGTATGTAAAATCGGTCGGTTTTGAAACTCTCGGGAGCTCAAGGGAGGGGGAAGGCGCTAATATCTTTAAAACTTTAGGTTTACGAGATTTGTCAACCATTACAGGAGTCAATATATGCGATCCATCGGCGTTAGCATAAAGCAGTGCCCAGATCCTGTCCTTGCTGAATTTTTTTCCAGAATTCGATTTTTCATATTTGGAGGCTTGTGTGCTTTTAGGCAAAGTACACCATAACAAACCAGTTTTGTCAGCATTGTAAATCTGAGATTCGAATAGCATTTCGTTACTTATATGTTCGATTAATTTTTGCCTTAAAGGTTTTATTTTCTTCTTTTGGTGCACTTATAGCTTCGCCGTAAATTCTATTATTTATGATTCCGTACCTTTTGGGAAAGCGCCAGAGCCATCCATCACTTGCTCTGAATGGTATGTCCATATGATTTGCTAATTTAATTGCAGCAGGTTTTAATTAGACTGACCGGACCAGGACCCCACTAGAATGTTGTTGGCCATAGCATTTTAAGATTGTTTTTCATTTGTTTTCTGAGATTGCCATTCTCTCCTTCACTACACATTAATGCAAATTCATTTATTTTGCTTTTGTTTTTTTTATGTCCGAAACAGTTTGCTTTTTTATGCCATATTGGTCACACATATCAGACACAGTCGTTCAAGACTCCAGCTTTTGTATTTGTATTTATTCTTTGCCGTTTGTCTATATTTAGAGGGTAGGATAGCGAAAATTTTAACTTACCCAGCGTGGTAAACACCCATACAATTATAGAAACCTAAGCATTTTTATATCAGGGAATCCCCTAATAATATCTGATGTTCTCACTTTCTGTCTCTTTTCTACAAATGTGTAAATTTATATCTCATGTATGTAGATTACATTTATCATAAACATTATATTATGTTTATGATAAAATATTGTTTTCTTACAAATGCTTTATTTATTTTTCAGCAAAAAAGTATATACATATTACTATTAGATGTGTCCTCTTACGCTAAATATATTGAAATTCTTTGTAAAATACAGTGGTACGGGACGGGTTAAGCATGTATAATTTTAACAGAACGTTTTTATTTTTTTTGTACTTGTAAGTCCGTAAATAGAGGTCCGTTATACCGAGGTTTTACTGTACTTTATTGAAGACATTGAAAAGTAGAATAAGGATATCAATGAAATATTAAAACCTTTTACCACGAAAGTAAACCAACTTTCTGTTTAGAATTACGAGTAGTAATTAACATGTTATATTAATATACGTCGGTTTACTGCGAAAACCAGGTAAATGTATTTAAAGTTTAGTTTTTTATTGTGAATTAGGCAGTCAGCTTGTTTTTAATATCAGGTATTCTAGTGAAAAATGCATATATCTGAAACGATATTCTACCATTAGTTTGAAAAAGTTGAGACACCTATCAGAGTAATCCTAAATATAAGTTGGAAATGATCAAAAACAATTCAGGTTATGAATACCAAAACGAAACTCAACTCAATGTCAATTGTCCAGTTAGTCACTCTCTAAACCTGCCACTTCCTCGGATTAAATGTTAGTCTGAGACTAGCCAAGGTTTAGCTTAGTCTGTCCTTAGTCGCTGTTTATTAATACGAAAAATGAATGTTATTGGTGTAGTCCTGGGACTAATGTTAGTCCAAGGTTAGTCCGTGTTTATTAATAAGAGATTGATTGTAGTGAGATGATATGTTGATCATTATACAGTGTGGAAACTACTTGTGAAATTAAATTGTTTATGTCCTTATTATAGAAAATAATAAAAAACTCTGGGACATGTTAACTTTTATTTTAAATTTAAATGTGCGCTTCTTAAACATAAATTTAAATATACAGGGTGATCCAGGCAAGTCTGTCATAGTCCATAATCTGTATTTTAAATGAAACACCCTGTATTATGTTTTTAAAAGTTCCTTAACAACCCGATCTCAACGAACTATATCATGTAGGGTCTATTATGAATAATACAAGGTGAAATTTTGAAATAAAGTGTAATTTTTTCAAGACAATAAATACATAGACTACCCGAGGTAATTGATTGAATTACATTAAAATAAATGATCAAAATGTACTCCACCTTATTGTTGGTAATAACAGTCTCTTATAAAACTCGTCCCGAACTTTGTTTAAAGTTTGAGGTGAAATATTCCGTATTTCTGTAGTTCTCCTTTCTTTGAGGTCTTCAATGCTAGTTGGTTGTGTTGAATATACTTTGTTCTTGAGATAACCCCACAGAAAAAAATCCAAATGCGTAAGATCTGGCGACCTAGCTGGCCACTCAATAGTACCCTTTCGTCCAATCCATTTATTGAAGAAGATTTCATTCAAGTCATTTCTCACCATTAAAGCATAATGGGGTGTTGCACCGTCCTGCTGGAACCAGACTGTTT